GGCTACTTCAGGGTTTCTGTTTGAGGTGTTTCTCTTCATTTGGTCTGGTTTAGAGAGTGAGGCTTGGAGGAAGGTCTTAGGCTGCTTTCTTGGGACCAAGGTTATCTTCTACCATGATACAGAGATCTCAATGGGCACCACCCTATTGAGGCTGCTGGGCCAGAAAGGTTGAAAGAAGACGTCTAGAAGGACAAGGGAGAGAGAGCCCCAGCCTTGGGCACTGGTCTTGTCCCTCTGAGATTTTGGAAGCCTCCAGCCTCTGAGTTTTGGGAGAAACCGAGGGAACTGGGAGCCTACAGAGAACGGTAAGTGTCGCTGCCACCTTGGGCCGTGGCTTGGCACAGCACAGCTAAGCCTAGCTCAGTCTGGGAGCCTGGCAGGAAACCCTCTGAGCCTTCCTCTTAGGAGACAGGGCTGTTGGCACACAGCAGATGGCCTAGACGTACCATCTCCAGCTGAGGTTGTGCTTGCCAGCAGTGCCCATCCACCCTGATGGCCCGATTGGCCCATTGTTACACAGGCCAGGCCACTTACTGGGGCTGCCAGACACTGTAGTTGGGGGTTAGACTGTCTCCAGAGGCCTGGGGCCATGCAGCAGCATTTGGACAGGACCTGATTTCCCCCACAGACTTCCCTGGAGAATCAGAAGCAGCACACGAGTTACTGTGGCAGAGGAGAAGTTCAGTTCATCCACTTAATAGCTTTGTGATTTTGTTCAGGTCGTGCAGCTTTTTTGAGTGGCTCAAGTCTCTTGTGTGCCAAATGGAGACAGTAGTTAATGCATGAGGGCGTAAGAGGGACACATAAAACGGCTCTAGGCAGAAGTGCCTTATAGCTCGGAAGGCAGTACACGTGAAAGTAATGACGTCATGTAGAAAAATCAGGCTGGCATCTGCTGAGCACCTGTGTGGCAGGCGGTGGGAGTTATGGAAGAGGTTCAAAGCCTGGTCCAACTCGGGAGACAGTGCTGAGCAAGCTCATATTGTACTAAAGTGCTCATTTCAGACTTCAACGTCTTGATCCATTCACGAATTGGTATTGGAATCAGTTCAGGAGATTGTGATCAGCATTTTTTTAAAACAAAGAAAAACAGAGTAATATAAAATTGAACAAAAATATCAGGGTACATTAGTTCATGTAAGGGCAACTTATTTCATCAGACATATTTCAGTTATGTGTCTGTATGTGCTCTCAGTATTTCTTAACTGTAGGTCTCAGTGTAAAAGTGTGAGAAATGGCTCCAAGCCAGGAAGGAGGTCTGCAGGTTGGAGGGCAATTAATGAATCTGGCCAGGCGGGCTGTGGAGAAGCTTCGAGCAGAGGAATGTAATGCAAAGGTCAACAGCGTGGGCTAGCCGGGCGCCCGTGGCTCACGTCTGTAATCCTAGCTACTCAGGAGGCAGAGATCAGGAGGATCACAGTTTAAAGCCCGCCCCAGGCAAAGAGTTCTCAAGACCCTATCTTGAAAAACCCCATCACTAAAAAGGAGTGGCTCAAGTGGTAGAGTGCCTGCCTAGTAAGCATGAGGCCCTGAGTTCAAATCCTAGAGCATGGGCTGTGGAGTCAGACAGACCCAGAGTTAGTCTCAGCTCTCCTTTACAGTTACATCGTCTTCAGGAGGGCTCTTAACCTTGCTAAATCTTGGCTTCTACTGTGAAATGGGGAGAATGATACCATGCTACGGTTCTTAGGAAATGCCCCTGTGCTAAGAATATGTGAAGCACTGAGAAAGAAATGAGTAAGTTGTAGTGGTGTGTTGATGGTTAACTGCCGGTGGTGGTGTTACTGTTTTGTGGCTGGGATTACGTGGGGACCCAAAGGGATGCTGTGACTTGGAGAGAGGAGAAGAAAGGGCATTCCAGATAGGGATGGGTGGATGACAAGGTCAGCATGCATGAGCCTGGTAGGAGAGAGGTCTGAGAATTGTACGGCCTTGGAGGGGGTTTTGGAGGTCATAGGTAGGAGACACCAGGAAGATTTTGGCAGGCAGAAGAAAGTTTTAGCGATAGAAACTTGAACAACAGAGCAACTTCCCTTGGAGGTGAGAGGCCATCCCTGGTGGAATTCCAGGAGAGACTGGGCCCAGGACACTTCTTAGCTGGCTCTTTGGTTGCAGAAATTCCCTTTGGGTCACCTTCAGGAAAGAGGGGATTTCTGAAGAGTCATGAGGTCCTGACCTGAGGCAATCCTCCATGATGGAGTTAGCTTCTCTCCCAACTAGCAACTGGCTCATGCCCTCTGCCAGAAAGATGTCACCTCATCTTTACCTCGTCACGCTGTTTTCAGGGACCACCCTGTACACCTGATCCCACCTTCATCTCCCAGGTCCTCTGGGCAACCTTTCAGGGTTTCACAATGCAGATGGGGAAATTGAAGGGGACTTGACTGCTGCAGAAGAGATTCCTGTATCAGACAGCAGTCTGAGCAGACACTTTTCTGGGATCCTGTCTTGATCGAAGGACTGTGAACCTTCTGACTCTTAAAAAACGCGTGTTGGGGCTGTAGCACAGTGTTAGAGTGCCTGCCTAGCATCTGCAAGGCCCTGGGTGGGAGAGGGATAGCTCACAACTTTCTAGGAGTACATCCTGTGCAGTCCTGTGCAGAAAGAGACACCCACCTATAGTTCGAGTATGCTGAGTACTGAGGACAGCCAGACCTCTAGTGTCTTCCCGCTCACCCTCCTCAGGTAGATTAAACTTCTCTGCTGTTGGAAGACGACAGCTGTTTGACCGTATTTCCTCAAAATGTGCCCAATTTAAGTTTTTAAAACTCAAAGCAGACCTTCTGATTGATGTGTACATTTAAGCAACGGTAATTTTTTTTGTTGGTTTCTGAGACGACCTTGCCCAATCAATGGTATAGCTTAAAATCAGTGGAGTCTTAGAATCCAGGAAATAAGTCATTTGTTCTGTATCCTTTTGAAATTCCGGTTTGAGGTTGGACATTGGGGCTTTAGAACTGCCACAGCTGTTATCTGGCAGTTATCGTGAGCAGAACTCTCTATCTGCAGCTGGGAGAGCAGCACCTTGGGTCCTGCGGGTGAGTTTTACCAACAGAGCCAGATCCCAGGCTTGAAGTGCCACATGGGCACAGGTTATTCAAGAGGAGATTCTTTGGAAACCTGCGCTTTCAGTTGAAAGCCCATCCTCTCAGCCTCAGTTTCCTCATCTGCACAGTGTGGCAGGGGTACTGGATTAGATGGTATCACGTCCATAACTGCCAGAACTTCCTGTTGACTCATGTGGGCACCCGCTCATTTAGTGATCTGGAAGGTTCACCCGACTGGTTGCATAAGTGAATGCGTTGTGGGTGGTGAAAGCCACCATGGGGGCTTGGGAGGGGCGGGGGCTTTAGTTTCTGCTCCATTTTGCTCTTATGGAAGAGAAAAGGAAGAATATTGTCATTGAATTATCTAATGGCCAGAGGCACCAGTTTGAGGGAGATGACTTGTGTCAGTGTGTTGAGGGGTCCTGTTTGTCCCAGGCTACAGTCTCTCCATAGCTGCAGGTCTGAGGCTGGTCTCAGGGCTGGGCAGGTCCCAGATGAAGTGCACTGAAGAAGAGGACCTGCCCTTTTGTGTCCCAGAGGCCTCAGCTCTGCCAGCACTCCTCCCTCTGTTCAAACCAACCAGTAAAAGTCACTGCAGTACATTTTCCTTTCGGCAGAGAGAAAATCAGAAACTTCAAGCCCCAGCTCTACCGTGACCTGTTCCTCACAGCTCCTCGGAGCTGCTCCAGTGCCACCCACCCTGTGCCTCATTCTGGAAAGTCAGGCAGGACTGAGTGCTGGCTCTGGGCTAGGACCTGGCCTGGAATCAAGTCCCAGTTTTCCTACTGATTAGCTAGTTGACTTTGACCAAGGCACACATCTTGGGATCTTACCTCTCTGAGCCTCTGCTTCCTGATCTGTCATTAATCTTTTGTTTACTTAACATTGCCAAGTACTTTCTTAATTGAAAATTTAAAAACACACACAAAGCATAACAAAGAAATATAAAATATCCATAGTCAATTATTTAAAAAAAAATTTTTTTTTTTGCAGTATTGGGGCTTGACCTCAAAGCCTGTACCTTGAGCCACTCCATCAGTCCTTTTTTGTGATGGTTTTTGAGATAGGGTCTCACAGAACTATTTGCCTGGGCTGGCTTTGAACCATGATCCTCCTGATCTCTGGGTAGCTGGGATTACAGGTGTGAGCCATCAGTGCCGGTTCTGTGAGTCATGAATTCCTGGGACTCACTCCCTGGAGGAAGCCCATTCAGTCATTCGGCCCTCTGACTAAGCCAGGGATGCACACCCCAGCCCACGTTCACCTGCCTGGTGCTGATTATGTGGGTCTAGTGCCCATCCCCATGAGGGTCAGGATTGTGTTCTAGTCATGAGAACATGTCCTTACGGTGTACCCAGGGCCCACACATTGTGACAGTCCCTCAGTCCGTAGGTGTTGTATGAATACAAGCGGTGGTGACTGACAGATGGGGCTTTGAAGTGTGTGTACGATTTTAATGGGTGGAGTCAACTTGGGGAGCATTCTGGCCAAGGGACTGGTGTGGATAAAAGTTGAGGGGTGGGAAAGGGCCGGCATAATTGGGGAAACTCTGAGTAACTAGTTTGGCTCAGGTGACAGATGAACGTGGAATTTCTGCACTTGTTTGACTAGTTTTTATGTCCAACTCAGCTCCTAGCACTCAGGCCCTCTGAACAGGCTTATTTACTAAGGCAGGCCCAAGACAGGAGTGCTAGGTTTCAGTGCACAGACGCACACACTCAGCCTCTGCCCCAGAGAGGCACGATGTCCCCGGCCCCTCCACATACTGGGGAAGTAGGCACTCAAGTCCCGTCTCTTGCCCTGTGCCTTCTAGGCAGGGAACAGCGTTGCCGCTCATCTGCAGTAGGATGCCATGAGTTAGCAGTGTGAGGGGGATGCAGGGCTGGCCAGAGGGGCTGCTGGGGCTGAAGCTTCTCTTGGCCTGTCTGATGGGCCCCATCCTCTACTCTACAGGCTGGAGGAAGTCCCCCTGGAGGTGCTGAGGCAGAGAGAGTCCAAGTGGCTGGACATGCTTAACAACTGGGACAAATGGATGGCCAAGAAGCATAAAAAGGTGAGGGGTCCAGCCCTGGGCTGGGGGCTGGGTGGTGGCAGTCTGGAGAGGAAGAGGAAGGAAGGAACTTCATGCTTAGGAGTGTAGGGGCTTCTCAAACCACCAGGCTGCCTTAGGTGCCCTCCATTGGCCAAATAGGGAACAGAAGCTGGCCGAAGGGCAGGGGGAAGGGTGGGTCCTGGCACATACTTCACAGTCACATAGAACTTTGTCCTGGAGTTAAACTTGAAGCTGCTTGTGACCAGTGGCCCTCATGGCAGCTTTGCTCTAGCCCTGCTGAGAGAAAGCCTGAAGTGCTTCCCAGCCATCGGGGAGGAGTTTACACCTCTCACAGCTAGCTTCTGGGCGCATTTGCAGGGTGCTGTTCTTACCCCCAGGAATCCTTGTGACACCCTGAGGACATTAGTAGCAGTGGCAGCATCACTTTATGGATGACCAATAAAGTCGAGATTTGAATGCAGGTGGCAAAAGTTTAGTGCCTGCTCTCTTACTGTTTTTTGCCGGTGCAGGGTAGGGGGTGTTGGTGCCACTGGGGCTTGAACTCAGGGACTCACACTTGCTAGGCAGGCTCTCTTACCATTGGAACAGTAATCCTCCTGATTTCTGCCTCCCAAGTAACTGGGTTTATAGGTGTGAGTCATTGTACCCACGCCTCTCTGTCTCTGTGTTTCCCTCTCTCTTTCATTTTGGCGGTACTGCAGTTTGAACTCAGGGCTCTGCACTGAATAGGCAGGCACTCCACTACTTGAGCCATACCTCCAGCCCTCTTTTAGATTTCTTTGAAGGCAGTCATTCCTCAACTGTTTGCTGCCTAACTTTGGAGCCCCGCCTCATCCTTCGTCAGGCTCTTAGCCTGAGCTGTAGCCTACTCTCCACCTGTCTCTTGTGTTGCTAGTGGTTGTAGGGAACTGGCACTGGCCCTCTTGCCCCAGCCTTCCTGACAAATGGGGATCCCTGAGGGGACCTCGGGGAACTCCTCACAGCAGAGCACTCAGCAGTACTTCCTCTTACCCTTTGCTTCCCTGGCATTGTGGTTAGAGCCCAAGGCCACCAGGGCACCTGTCCAGCAGAAGCTTCCATCCTACCTAGTGGCCCTAAGTCACTGCTCAGCTCTAGACCAGACCACCACAGGGTGCCTCTCCTGCTGCCCCAGCTGTGGCCACACTAGACCCTGCCCTAGGAGCTTTTCCTGCTTGGCCATGGCGGCTTAGGCGCTCTCTGTGCTCAGGAAGTCCTGGCACAGGAAAGACACCTGTTTTGGAAAGCTGGCTTAGAGCCAACACTTCTGGACTTATCCATAGTCCAGCTGGGAGGATGCCTTCCTTCCCCCTCCCAGCTGTGTCCAAGCCAGAAATCTGGGCTGTGGGGAGGCAGGGCTGTGGCTGTCTTCCCCTGTAGGGCCCTGCCCTCCCTGAGTTCAGCAGGCAAGGGTGTCGCTTCACTCGGTGTCATCAGCAACCTCCTTTCTCAGGGAGTTGCTTCAGACAGTGGTAATCCCTGGTGCTTTCTGGAAGCACTTGCTAACTCAGCCCTCCAGCCTCCCTGCGGCAGTGGGGGATGACCATCTCCAGCAACTTGGTGCTGAGAAGGGTGAGGAGGCCAGCCAGGAAAGGCTGCCCTTGTTCTCTGGTTTTCTGTCCCTAGCCCCCTCCCCGGACCTGCCTGAGAGCAGAGTCTCCTGGAGCACCTCAGTGGCCTGGAAGTGCTCCAGGAATCCCTGGAGCAGGTGACATGTGACAGGAGACCATGATGACCGGCTGCCTCATGCTCAGCTTGTTCATTGTGGAGTTAAAAGGGCCTGCGGCTCTGGGCTGTCCTACGTCCCATTGCCAAAGCCTGCTCCCAGTGGCTTCCTTAAGGTGACCCTTGTTCCACAGCAGCAGGAAACTGTTCCCAGAGTCTGGGGCAGTTCCCTTCCTCTCCCTCCTCTCCCCCTTTTCCAGGCTGTCCCAGAAGCTCTAGCATGGCTTTTGCGAGCAGCCTGGCTGCTCTGTGCGCCTGCCCGCAGCCTGCCAGCCTGCCTGCCTCCTTCCTGCTTCTTGACTCTCTCTGACCCCTGGAAAGTTTTCTCTTGTTTGTGTTGGTCACCAGGAAGGCCAGGGCTTCTGTGCCCCTCTTCCGAGCGCTTCCAGCGGGACTGTTTGAGGGGCTTTCCGGGTGAGGGGAAGTTAGGCAGGAACTGGGGTCCTTGGGACTTCTGTTTCAGCATCCTTGTGGGATGAGGGTAGAGAGGAAGCCGTCATTTACTGAATACTGCTAGTGCATCAGGCCTCACACTGAGCACGTTCTGCCCTTCTAATGGAATCCTTTCAAAAGAAAAACACTGCAGAGTAGAAGGTAACACCATTCACATCTTAAAACTGATGAGAAGGGTTGGTCCAAGGTCAGCGCAGGACTCAAACCCATATCATCTATTCCAAGTGCCCATCTCTTTCATCCCTGGCCAGGCTGCTTAGTGCAGAGAAGAGGCGTTGTCATTGTCCCCACCTCCACTCCCTCTACCAACATTCCTGTGTCTTTGCCCTCACACCTGATGGCCAGGGCTGCTGCCTTCGGAGCCTCATTGCGGGCTCAAGCTCAGAGGGAGCCCATCTCCAGCTCTGAGAGGCTAGTGGGGTAGCAAGTGCACAGCGCTGGGTCCCATGAGTCATGCGGTAGCATGGAGGTGGCAGGACTTCTGCCTGTGTGACCTTAGTTTTTCCCACTCGAGGGAAAAACTTCAGTTTCCCCATTCTTCAGAGACACAGTAGTTTTCCAGACTGGGTTTTGGCAGTAGGAGACTTTTTCTGATACAAACAACCAGCCAGAACTGGCCACTGTCACCTCACTTCTCCCATTCTGGAGGTGGCAGGAAAGACCTGGCCATTTTAGCAAGCTCTAGGATCAGGACTCCCCAGGTCAACTGCCTCTACCCCAGGGCAGGGATCTCAGGAACTCCAGGTTGAGGAGAGGAGAAAAGGAGGTTCTTGACCAAAGCAAACGGGGAGTCACTGGAGCAGCCCCATCTTCTCCTGAGTTCACCTGAGATTTCTCTCCAGGCTGGCTGTACTCCGCCACCCAGATGCTGAAGCAGCAGCCTCCTTGCAAGTGCCTGGGTCACACCTCCAGGCACGTTTGGTTCACCTTGTGAGCTACCTTCTCTGCCGCTGCTGCTGTGCTCCCCCAGGGTATAGCTCCTTCCCTGGTGACAAACATGGGGTGCCCCAATTTGTATGGCTACATTTTGATTCAGAAAATACAGTCAGCCCTCAGTACAGAGTTCACTGTGCATTATGCTAACTCAGCCCTTCTAATGGATTCAGCCAACTTCAGATTGAAAATATAGTTGTACCTGTTATGGTTGCATCTACTGAACATGTGCAGACTTTTTTCCTTGTTATCATTCCCTAAATAACACAGGAGAATAACTATTTACAGAACATTTGCACCGTGTTAGGTATTGCAAATGAATAATGATTTTAAGTGTATGGGAAGATGTATACAGATCCTATGCAAATACTACTCCCTCTTCTGTTAGGAATTTGAGCATCAACAATTTGGTGTCCACAGGGCATTCTGGAACCAATCCCCCACAGATACTGAGGGATGACTATAGTTTTGGGGGGTCCAGAATTCTGTGGCAGACCTCAGGAATGCCTGTGTTGTCACCAGACCAGGGGATGTGCACTCTGCCTTCATCAGCCGGCAGCATGTCTGACTGCAGTCCTTCTGCCCGCACCACAGGTGTATTGTAGCAAAAGTAGGAAAGTCCTCTGTTCTCCCTCCAAGCCCGGGCAGAGGGGCCTAGCCCAAGAAGCTCCCGGGGTGGATGCATGGACACAGCTGTCCTATTGTCTTTCAGATCCGTCTGCGCTGTCAGAAGGGCATCCCGCCTTCTCTGCGGGGCCGGGCTTGGCAGTACCTGTCAGGAGGCAAGGTGAAGCTACAGCAGAACCCTGGAAAGTTTGACGTGAGTTTCTCTTCCTTCCCCCCACCCTTCCTGCTGTGTCAGGGCTGCATATCTTCCCTTGGCAGCCATCCCCCAGTGCTCTCTGGACCTAGGCAGGACCGCGACCAATGGAATCTTCAGTCACAGGCTCAACTACCCAGCAGGCCACATTGGCCCAGTCTTGGAGACCTGTGACTCCTGGAGGCTCAGCTCCTCTGAGCCTCCAGCCTGAGCTGGACTGACAGATCTGCCACTCCCCTTCTAACTCTTTCTGTCAACAGCCACTCAGGTTTGTTTTCTCAGGCCAAGAGCACTTCGTTACTGCTCTCCTCCTGAGGAAGAGGGGCCCTAGACTACTTTCCTGACTGCCTCGGGCCTATGCTCTGGGCTTGAGGGATTTGTTCAGCAGGAACATAAGACCCTTGACACTGCCTGGCTTCCATCCTTGGCTCTGTCTCCTGTTTCCACGCCAGGATGTCTACCTGAATTGCATAAGAGTCTGTCAGTGTTAGGCTAGCAGAGCCAAACCCCTGTCCTCAGGGATCAGAAAGCCATTTGGTGGGCAGATGGAGAGCCCTCTGCAGCCATGACTCCTTCTGCCCACCCACATCCTGCTGCCCTGACCTGACAACTGGCGAGGACATTGCACCCTCCACTCACTGAGCTGGGCAGCTCCCCCTGGCCTGCTCCCCTGGGGAACTCTGCAGAGGCAGTGGTATCCCCGGGGTTGCCCCAGCTTACCTGCCAGGCTTGGCCCCAGGCATCAGGGTTTCTCCCAGGCCCTTGGGACTGATGACAGGCAGTGAGACAGAACTGCCAGCCACCAGGTCTTTTGTTGATATCTTTCGTGCTTCAGTGAACACTCCAGTCTGGTCAGACCTGTTCTCTGAGAAGGTGGGGGCGGTCAGGGCAGGGCAGCCTAGAGTCTCTGCATTGACCTAGAGGGAGCGAGAGCTATTTGCTGGCAGCCCTTGGTTCTGGGGGTAGGGGGGTTGTACAGGATATGGCTAAGGGCAGCTAGAAATCTGGGTGATTGGATGTTCCACAAAGCACCAGCTTGAGCTGCCCCTCCACTCCAGAGTCTTTCTCCTAGAGGCTACATCTCCTCCATCCAAGGGGCTGCATCGTGGGTAGAGTGAGAGCACAGGGATCAGAGTCCTACTCCAAGTCCTTAGTTTAGGTCAGCTTCCAGAGCTCAGGCACAAGAGCGAGCATGTGGGTGGGTGGCCTGGCCAGCCTCCTGGGTGCACTGGCCAGCAGGTGTGAGTGTGTCTGCAGGGTGTGCAGCAGAGCTTGACACTCCGTGCACGTGTGTGTAGAGTGGTGCATCTAGCAAGGTCTTGGCCACCGTCATGTCGTCTGGAAGGTTGCTTGTGCAGGGAGGAATATTTGACATTAGAAAGGCCTTCTCGCCAGGGCCGGTGGCTCACACCTGTAATCCTAGCTACTCAGGAGGCAGAGATCAAGAGGATCGCAGTTTGAAGCCAGCCCAGGCAGCCCAGGTTCTGCAAGACCCTATCTTGAAAAACCCTTTGCAAGAAAGGGATGGTGGAGTGGCTCAAGGTGTAGGCTGTGAGTTCAAGCCCCAGTACCACACACACACACACACAAGGCCTTCTCAATGCCCTGAGGCTGAGAAGTGGGTCCCCATGACAGTCCTGGGAGCCCTAAGATTCTTTGGAAGGACTTTGCCTCTGGGCGATCCAGAGGAAGCAGACAGGGATGGAGGCTCTGTGCTGTGACTGAGGATGCAATGTGGTAATGTGTACCTGTTCCTGTGCTCCAGGGGCCTCCAATTCCTACCATGGCCCAGGCACCTGACCACCGTAGCTCTGCAGGCCCTGGTGGCTCTGTTTCATCCGGCACTTGCTATTTCTTCCTCCTCCCTTGGGCAGGCAGGACCTTCCTGTCCGGTTTCCCTCTCCTGCTTTGCCTTATTATGGCGCCACCTTATCTCCCAGCAGCTGCACCTGCCTTTGGCGCCCAGCACCCTTTCTCCCACAGACCCTGCAGCTACCCCTCTCCCTTCTTCACCAGTGGTCAGATACCTTGGGCTGCCGAGGTGTCAGATGAACAAATTGTGGGAGCTGACTGACTTTTGGGGTTCTCAGACTTGTGTACCTCATGGGAACCACCAGGAGAACTTGTCGGGCCCCCTTCTCTTCATAGAAAAAAGTCCATTGTGCTCAGACAGGGACTCGAAGGACACACGCAGGCCCCAACTTGAGGGTTCATGGGGCTTCAGAGGCTGATACCACTCCCTCCACTGCACGCACCCTAGTCCCTTCCTCCACCCTCCACCCTCCACCCTCCAGCCTGAGCACTCCACCAACCTTTCTTCTCCAGTCAAGCTCCTGGCGCCCTAGGTGCTTTCAGTCCAGTGTCAAGATCTAAGCCCTCCAACGAGGTCACCTGGAGCCAGGGCTGGCACAGGTGCATGCTGATGTGGAATGGTTGCTGGGGTGGGGGATTGCCTCCTGCCCCAGACCCTTCCCTGATGCTGTCCTGGGCTTCCTGCTCAGCCTTCTGGGTTTCCTTCCTGTGTATCTTTCTTTTCTAAAAACCGAGGTAAGAATTTTCAGAGTCAAGCAAACAAAGCTCAAGTGTGCAATTCAGTGAGCTTTGACAAGTAATACACATCCATGTAATCGACATGCAGGCCATGATAGAGACATTTCACACGACCAAGAAACCGTTTTTCCTGCTGATAGCTTTGTTTCTATAAAGGCACCCATGCTAAGCTGTTCCCAGAAGTTCAAAGAAGAAAGTAGAACTTTGTGGAAACCTTAGCATCCAGAAAATCATCTGAAGCTCATGATTTGACAGATGTCATGTCCTTCCAGGCCACGCTCTGTGAAAATCACACACACCCCTTCTTGAATAGGTGACACTACCTACACGAGGGAGGCAGGCAGCAGAGGAGCTAGGCTTGGTGTCTCTGAGTCATAGTTCCAGCTCCACTTTGCTAGCCACAAAGCCTTGGATACGGGACTTTGATGTCACCTCCCCCACCCCGTTACCTCATCTGTGAACAGGGTGATTCCAGCCACAGGCAATGGACGGTCTTACTCACGTGGGTCTTCTTGAGCTAGGATCACCTCTCAGCTTTCCAGGGTTCTGCTTTCCCCACTCCTTTTCAGCTTCCTCACCTGTCTTTGGGAAGGCCTGGTCCCATGATGGGATTGGTTGGCGGGTTCATCTGATACATGGGACAGCCGTGTCCTGCGGGATGCCTCCCGCTGCCCTGGTATGTACCCTTGCCCTTGGTTTTAGGAGCTGGACGTGTCTCCTGGGGACCCCAAGTGGCTGGATGTGATTGAGCGTGATCTGCACCGGCAGTTCCCTTTCCATGAGATGTTTGTGTCCCGAGGGGGCCACGGGTGAGTAGACTGGGCAGTGGCTCTAGGTCCTGTCCTTCAGGAGGAAGAGGAGATGCAGTGAGTTTGGGGGTAACCCAGGGGACCAGAAGTCAGGTGTGCAAAGTTCAGCTGTGTTTGCCTTTTTGGTTTGCATTTGGTGGTGCTCTTAGCATCTCTTTTGGCACCTGGTGCAGCTTTCATTTACTCTCCGACCTGCTGGTGCTTACTCAGCCTGGCCTTCTAGAAACAGGCTTTTGCCAAGGACAGAGTGAGTGAGAGGGGGGTGGTTGAGCAGAGAATATGCAGGAGGGGAAAGACATGCTGGGCAAGGAGACCTAGATGGACGTAGCCTGGGACAAAGCTGCCCAGTGAGGGACCCCTGTCCTCACCTGATCGTGTGAGAGTCCACGTGCTGCCATGGGAGACTGGCCTTTGGTGACCACAAGCAGGTCACCAGGGGAGGGCAGACTCTGGGGCACAGGTGAGGCGATGGGGCAGCAGTCACACCTGTCATCACTGCTCCATTGGCCTCTCCTCAGCCAGCAGGACCTGTTCCGCGTACTGAAGGCCTACACTCTGTACCGGCCAGAGGAGGGCTACTGCCAGGCTCAGGCACCCATCGCTGCTGTACTCCTCATGCACATGCCTGCTGAGGTACCTCCAGCCCTGGGCAGGGGTGGGATGGGGTGCAGGGACCGGCCCCAGCCACAAGGCCTCACATCTCTGTCGCCCATAGCAAGCCTTCTGGTGTCTGGTACAGATCTGCGAGAAGTACCTGCCTGGCTACTACAGTGAGAAACTGGTGAGTGCTTGCCTGGCCTTGAACCCACCCCGAAGGACGCCTTCTCTTGCACCCACTCCATGCTGGAGTCCCAGAGCTTATTGGGGTCAGATCTCCATCAGTCACACACTTGCCTCCCTCTGTGCCTCCAGCCACTCTGGCCACTTGGTAGGATGGAAACTCCTCCCCACCCTGCCTTGGCCTGGGCTCATTCAACCTCTGCCTGCAGCTCTATTCCATTCTCCTTCCCCTGAAAACTCCTCCTCCTCCTCCAGCTTTCAGCCTCAGGAGCTTCCTTGACCCTGACAGGTGGACCGCCAGCTTGTGCTTGCTGAGCACTCTTGTTCCTGCCATGTCTGGGGTGCTTGACCCCATCTGCCCCAGTCTCTACTCATGGGCCCCCTTTCACCCTAAGCTCCAAGAGGGGGATCAGCTGAGTCTAGTTTGCTCATCGCTGTATCCCAGCCCCCCTCCCCGCCCCCTGCAGAGGCTGGCACCCTGCAGGCAGCAGCCATCGGGTGAATAAATGAATGTCTGCCGGTGCTAGGGGCCCCTGTGGGCCCTGGCCAAGGCCTGTGGCTTCAATGTCCCAGGAGGCAATCCAGCTGGACGGGGAGATCCTGTTCTCGCTGCTGCAGAAGGTATCCCCCATGGCTCACAAGCACCTCAGTCGGCAGAAGATCGACCCCCTGCTGTACATGACCGAGTGGTTCATGTGCGCCTTCGCCCGCACCCTGCCCTGGAGCTCCGTGCTGCGTGTCTGGGACATGTTTTTCTGTGAAGGTGCTGGGCTGGGCTGGGGTGGGGGTGCCAGAGAACCCCAAAGGCCTGCTTGCACTCACCGCCCGTCCCCCACGCAGGAGTCAAGATCATCTTCCGGGTGGGGCTTGTGCTGCTGAAGCACGCGCTGGGCTCCCCCGAGAAGCTCAAAGCCTGCCAGGGCCAGTACGAGACCATTGAGCAGCTGCGGAGCCTCAGCCCCAAGATCACGCAGGAGGCCTTCCTGGTCCAGGAGGTGCGGCCCACATCCGTGGCTGGCCACATTGGGGAGGGGAGCTGGTGGGATGCCTGTGGAGGGTTCCCAAGTAAGTGGGCCTCACCCTCCTGGTTGGATGAGGAGCGTGGGGTGTAGACAGACCTAAGTTTGCAGCGCCTTCCTGTCTAAGCCACTTGGAGCAAAGACACACTGCAACCTGTAACCTCTCTTTTTTCCTTTTTGGCGGCTACCTCTCTGTGAGCTTCTGTGGGTAGGGCAGTGGTCAGGCTGGGGACAGGGCTGAAGCAGAAGGCCATTTTTTTTTTTCTGGTGCTGGGGAGGGAACTCAGGGCCTTGCACTTGCCAGGCAAGCACTCTTCCACTGAGGTAAATCCCCAGCCCCCAGAAGGCCATTTTGCACTTGCTTCTCCAGTAGTTGCTAAGGATTAGGAAATTAGGAAATATCCCTATTTTCACACTAGGAATGGAGGCTCACAGAGGCAGGACCACCCCCACCTCCACACCAGCCAGGAAGTGGAGGAGTTGGAATTTGAGCCTAGGCAGTCAGGTTGCCCTGGGCAGCGGGGGCACGTGGGCTGACAGCAGGTAGTGACCTGTCTGAGCCTTACCACTCCTGCCCAGTACATAAAGCTAATGAACTTGTGAGCAATGAGCAGTTGGCCTTATGTGTCCAGCTCCCCTGGCATTGAGCTCTACGACTCTGACCTCAGATTGGCCCCCTTCCTGGGTCAGCCATTAGCAGCCAGAGCTGGGCATGCTGCGAAAGAGGTGGGTCCAGGCTTGGGGCAGAAGGAAATGGTGTCGTGGTGCTCATCTGCTCCTCCTTTCTCCCACAGGTGGTAGAGTTGCCGGTGACAGAGCGCCAGATCGAGCGTGAGCACCTCATCCAGCTGCGACGCTGGCAGGAGACCCGGGGTGAGCTGCAGTGTCGCTCCCCACCCAGGCTGCATGGCGCCAAGGCCATCCTGGATGCAGAGCCCGGCCCCCGACCCACCCTGCAACCCTCACCATCGATCCGCCTGCCCCCAGATGTACTTCTCCCTGAATCCAAAGCCAGGCCACCCAAGCAGGTCCAGAAGGAGCAGCGGAAGCGGACAAAGGCGAGTGGGGAACTGGACAAGTCCCTGGCCCCCAGTCAAGCCACGGTGGTGACTGCTGCAGGAGACGCATGTCCTCCACAGGATGTGGTCCCAACAGACACGGTTTCCCAGGACCCAGCCCCCCAGGGCTCCTCTCCTCAGGACCTAACCCACCACCACTCCCAGGAGAGCCTGACCTCCCAGGAGAGCGAGGACACCTACTTGTAACCTTGGCAGCTCAGGCCTCCAGGGCGGGGTCTCCACACAGCTACATGGTTCGAAGATGACACTCCAGGGTCTGCTCACCAAGGGCCCGACCGCTTGGCTGCTGGCCGGGACAGGGTCTGGCTGGCCTAGTAGATTCTGCCTGAGTCTCCTTATTTATTTTCTCTGGCGTGGAGTTCGGGCTGGCCCAGTCAGTGCAGGCAGAAGCTAGGGCCAACTGAGTGGGGCCTCACTTAGCCTCTCCTCCTGGAGGATGCTCCCCCAGGGCAAGGGTACCGGCATGAGGGGAGCAGCGGGGTGATTTTTATGTAAAATAGAAACATGGTTTTGTACAGAAATAAACAGAATTGTGTAGAGAGCTGGAGTGCAGCTAGGGACCGGGATGGGGTACCACCCTGGTACTCAGCACCTTTTTGCCGTGCCCTGCAGAGCCCCACACACTGGGCCCCCAGCCCAGCAGGAGCTTCTCGGAGAAGTACCTTTGGCAGAGGAGTTGTGCAAATCCAGAGCCAGCCCCCATGTTCCCTCCTCCATCTCTGCTGCCCCTTTGTGTACCCTCTGCCATGGGTGAGGGATGCCGGGACAGGAGCTCAGCACTGGGGCAGAGCAGGGCATGACTCCTGGGCCTTGGTCTGTACACTTTACCAAGGGGGAGGGCTCCCTACAGAGGTGGCTTTAGGCCCTTCCCTGTCCAAAGCCAGGCCTGATGTCACTTAGGCCCCAAGTAGCTTCTGAGCACTCCTGGCACCAGGGGTGAGGCACCATGAGTGTCCTCCATCAGAGGGGAATGGGTGAGGGGAGAAGTCTGGATGCTTGCTAAAATGCCCAGGCTGCGCTGCTTATGCCTGACAGGTAGGAGACAGGAGCCCAGTAGGAAAGGACTCAGCTCTCGCCCCAAGCAGAGCTACTCTGCACCCAGAGCCTTGCTCAAGCTCCCGCTCCTGACCAGGGTTCCAGGTGACCTGACTGCCACCAATGGGCCAGGCAGGCGCTTGGTCACAACCTGATGCCTGGCAAGGGTGAGAACAGGGTGTCCCTGGGAGAGGCCCCCCCTTCTGCTGAGGAAGCAGCTTTTCCAGTCAAACAATAGCGGCTGTTCCTGGCAGAAGACCAAGCCTGGGCTAGGCCATCGCGGGAGGGGACAGAGGGAGGAGCAGAGCCTCTCTGGGAGCTTTCAGACAGTGCCTGGGTCTGGAACTTCTTGTCCTGATACAGCTGAGGATACTGAGGCTAGAGGAGGTGGACGGCCATGGGAGACTCAGGATAGACCAGCCACTTCCTGCCTCCTGTCCCTTCGTCTTTTAGTCCCCCCACCCCATGTGCACCTGCCGTGGGTGACATGGGCTCAGCCTCAGAAGCACTGCCCCCAGCCCTCCAGGGAACAGGTCAGGATGTGCTGCAGAGTTCCATGGGAGCACCCCCATCCGGAGAGGCCAGGGCAGAAGCCTAGCCTGGCTTCCATCTGCCCGTGGCGCAGGCCTGTTGGGTCCCAACCAGGCATGAGGCCCTGCCTTGACCTACTGGACTCAAAACCTCAGGTCTGAGGCCTGAGAGTACTTGGGCCAGACGGGTGTCCCCTGGAGTGGGATTGGCCTGGCCTTGGAGCCAACTTGCTGCTACCTGCTCAGCCTTGGGGTCTTCTTAGACCTGCACAAGCCTGATCAGGTGAGATCTGGGGTGTCTGCCAGTGCTTGGGACCTCCTCAGGCCAGAAGCAAATTCAGACATGCTTAGGCCAGGTGTGTTCTGCTAATGGCTACAGGCCTCTCCAAAGGCCCAACTGCCTGGGCCCCTGGCATCCCTAGCCCAGACGCGCTTGGTTTGCGGGTGACCCTACAGTATGCTGCTTGGAGGTGGCTAGGACTCTTTATCTCTGTGTCCCCAGTGGGGCGCCTTCAACTCTGGGGCTTGCGGGACGTAAACAGGACCTCCTAAGCTAGGTTTCAGCGGCTCGACCCGCTGAGTCCTAAAGGCCTCATTCATAATGCCCACGTATGTGACTGATGGGTGGAAACGACCCCGTGCTTCCTGCGCGCTCCCAAACCCAGAGTGGCAGTCGTCCTGCGGAAAGGGCGGAGCCTGGAGCGGGGGCGTGGCCTGAGGACTCAGAGGGGAGGTGGGGCCAGACGGTAATTCCCGAGCCAGGAACAGGGGGGTGGAGCCATCTGGGGTGGGGCTCCGCGGATTGGACGGAACGGAGTGACGTGTGGGAAGGGGGCGTGGCCACATGGCCCGGACCGCGAGACTCGCAGGGCGTGGCCATCCAGGAGCGGGACGCCGGGCTGGACGCCGGGCTGGGCGGGTCCGCGTCGTAGCGGGCGGCGTGGATCCCGTCCGTACGGCGGCTCCTTTAAGCCCGGGGCGCCACCCCCGCCGCCCCGCCTCCGGCCTGAGTGTAGCTGGTGGCGGGGCCGGGGCCGCGCGAGCCGCGATGGAGCTGCACATCCTAGAGCACCGGGTGCGGGTTCTGAGCCTCGCCCGCCCCGGCCTCTGGCTCTACACCCACCCGCTCATCAAGCTGCTCTTCCTGCCCCGCCGCAGCCGGTGCGCGCCCGGGTTCGGAGGCGCAGGTGGGGGTGGGGCCGGGGTCGGACGAAGAGGGTTGTCGCCAGGCGGGGGACAGCGGGTGGGGAGGCTTTGCCCCTCCGGCCGCCATCCGGCCTGGGCCTACCCTTCCTGGGACGCCGCCTATCCGGCCCCCGAGGTCCCCTCCCAGGCCCCGGTCTAGGCGCAGACAGCCTGGGGTGGGCGATAAAGTGGGGGGACAGTCCTCCCTGGTCACTGCGGGGAGCTCCTTCCAGACGCCTCCCATCGGGTTAGAGGGGCTGACCTGGAGGGTCAAGGTCCGACGCCCCTTGGGCTGTCGCCACGGGGTGAGCCTGTCCTCCCTCCTGGAATGGGGACTCCCCGAGGGGTCTGGCGATCCGGAGACGGAGCCCACACCCCATTGCTTCGGGGAGGAAATTGGGGTCTGGGACGGGTCTGGACGCGGAGGAGGAGAGGTGTCCTTTAAGGGAGGATGGATCGAAGTCCACGCGCCCTCTTCCCTTCCCCCCGGGAATTCACTCCAGGCTGAAGAGCCTCCCTGCCCCCAACCAGGTGCAAGTTCTTCAGCCTGACCGAGACCCCCGAGGATTACACGCTCATGGTGGACGAGGAGGGCTTTAAAGGTGGGGGCTGGTCTCTTGTGCTCTCAGAATTCTCAACACATGCCAGGATCCATTGTCCCCAAGACGCTGGTGGATCTGGGTTCGAATCCGCCACTCACTGGCTGTGTGCCCTTGAGCAAATCACGTCCCCTCTCTGAGCTGTTTCCTCTTATGTAAAATGGGTATAATTATGGTGGTGATTTAACAGGATCTTATGAGGGCTTGAGAAACTTAAAAGCCATACGGGACTGGTGTAAGGGAGGGGGCTTCGGTTACAGTTTCAAGCAAGAGTTGGGGAGTCCTGTGGTTTTTTAAAAGTCCCCCACCCCGACATTGTTTCCTCTTAAGACTTTATCTCCCCGGTGAGGGTCAGCTCCTCCCCTGCTGGTCTGGGAACTCCAGGAGTCTGAGGGTTGGGGAAGGAATGCGGGAGCAGGCAGCTATCCCAGAGCAGGGTCCTGGGGGCCTCCTGGCTGTGCTTGGGCTAACAGCAGCCACCCTGGCCCTTGTCCCTGCTCAGGACTGGACTGAGCCTGGTCCCTCCCTGGGCCCTGGAGCTCCTGCCTGGCCCCGTTCGCCCTCACAGGCCGGGAGTCTCAGTCCAGCCAACTGGAGGTTGGCCTATCACCCTCCCCCAACCTCGGGCCTTAATTTCCCTGTTTGTACAGCTGGGAAGTAGCATTCCCTGGCCAACCCGATGTGCTTGCGGCCCCTAGTGGTGCCCTGTGGTGTAAAGTCAACCCACACACCAGTCAGGAGGAATTGTCTCCCATTTTAGAGACAAGGACACTGAGCCCCACATCAGGCCGCAAAGCAAATGGCAACAAATGGCAAAGCTAGGGTTTGAACCCAGTTCTGACTTTTGGAGCTCTGATCCTTACGGAAGGCTCAGCCCCCAGCCCACCAGCTCCTGAAGCGTTTCTCAGTTTTTGCATAAATATAGACTTCCAGAGCAACAGCCCCAGCCTCCAGATCTGCCCTTGCTAGAACCATCCAAGGCACAGATAGGGAAACTGAGGCTGAGTGAGGCAGGGGCCGGAGCCGAACCAGGCACGCGCCTTCTGCCTATAGAGCTGCCCCCATCTGAGTTCCTGCAAGTGGCAGAGGCCACGTGGCTGGTGATGAACGTGTCATCTCACAGCGGCGCGGCCGTGCAGACGGCTGGGGTCACCAAGATCGCGCGCTCGGTCATCACGCCGCTGGCCGAGCACCACGTGTCGGTGCTGATGCTGTCCACGTACCAGACGGACTTCATCCTGGTGAGTCTCTGCAGGTACCTGAGCAGGTGGGTTAGGGCGCCTCAGGGACCCGCGGGATGAGTCACCTGCCCGTGGCCCAGGTGCGGGAGCAGGACCTGTCGGTGGTGATCCACACCCTGGCCCAGGAGTTTGACATTTACCGCGAAGTGGGCGGGGAGCCTGTGCCGGTTGTCAGGGAAGATTCCAGCAATGGCTTTCCCCGCGCCCAGCATGGTGAGGTCTGCCCCCCACCGCACCCCCTCCTTCCCCCTGGCTCTCCCCGGTGCGGGTGGGAAGCCGGCGGCGGACGCTGATGTCTCCCACGTGGTTCCTGGAGAGCAGGACTCAGGCCCCGCCCCCGCTCGCACAAGCCACGCCCAGGCCCCGCCCCAAGCCACGCCCCTCCCGGACGCTTCCTCCAGCCGGCCACTAGGGGTCGCCCCAGCCCACAGATGCCTTTTCACCTGTGGCCACCGTCCATCCATCCCGAGCAGGGCCCAGCCCCACAGTGCATCCCATTCAGAGCCCGCAGAACCGCTTCTGTGTCCTCACGCTGGACCCCGAGACGCTGCCATCCATTGCCACCACCCTCATCGACGTCATCTTCTACTCGCACAGGTGGGCCAGGTTGCACGTGGTCCCTGCCTCCACCCCAGTGTTTCCCACCCTGAGCCCCACTTCACCCGTCTGCCCTGGGCCCTGCCCTGTGGGTCCCTGCACAGGGTGACACCTGCGCTGATGTCACAGGACGGTCCTGATGAGCCGGAGGAGCTGGAGGTGTCTCTGTGCATCAGATCCCTCTATCCCAGAGTCCTTTACTTTTTGGCATGAGTGGGACTCCTTGTTCTTTTTTTATTCTTATTGCTGTTGTTAGTGTATCTCTCCTCATCTCTCCTTAGGTCTTGAATAAGGAGAAAGTTATCTTCAAGTAACTTTTTTTTTTTTTTAACGGCAGCACTGGGGATTGAACTCAGGGCCTCACGGTTGCTGGGCAGGCGCTCTACCACTGGAGCCACTCAGCCAACCCACTTCTGTGAAGCGTTTTTTTCGAGATCGGGTCTCGCAAACTTTTTCCCCAGGCTGACTTTGACCCTCGATCCTCCTGAGCTCTGCCTTCTGCGTCGCTGGGATTACAGGCGGGAGCCACTGCACCTGGCCAGGCTTACCGTTCTGACTTGTTCTTTAAGAAGAGACAGGAAGCAGAGCTGGGAGGGCTGCCCAGGGCCACCTATGCCAGCCCCTTCCCTGGGGTCTGATGGCTGGGAGGAATGGGTGACGTTCCCAGCGGAGCCCTTGATTCTGCTGTCCGTCCCCAGTGCCCCCAAGGAGACGGTGTCTGATGGTCCTGAACCCAGCTCCATTCCGTTCTTTGCTTTCTCCCTCATCGAGGGCTACATCTCCATCGTCATGGACGCAGAGACGCAGAAGAAGTATGGGGCCCTGGGTGGGGGACGGGAGACACCGACCCTAAGTCAGCCCCAGGGATGGAGGAGGCAGGGTGCCAGGCCCCGAGGTCAGCAGGGCAGGAATGGGGGGGCCCTGCCCACTGCCACCCACCTGCCCTCCCAGGTTCCCCAGTGACCTTCTGCTGACCAGCTCGTCGGGCGAGCTGTGGAGGATGGTTCGCATTGGTGGACAGCCCCTGGGCTTCGGTGAGAGCCGCTTCCTGCAGGGGCAAGGGGGGGACTGTGGGGTGACCACAGTGGCCGGGGTGACCACAGGCATCTTGCTCAACTCAGATGAGTGTGGGATCGTGGCTCAGATCGCGGGTCCCCTGGCCACCGCTGACGTCTCTGCGTATTACATCAGCACGTTCAACTTCGACCACGCTCTGGTGAGCAGTGCGCTGGGCTGGGGCCTCGGGGGTAAACTGAGGCCCAGGAGAGTGGGGGGTGAGGGAGGTGGTTCCAGATGGGCAGCCAAGTTGAGCAGCCCTGGCTGGACTCAGCCCTGACCCCTCTCTGTCCCCCACCTGGCCCTAGGTGCCCGAGGATGGCATCAGCAGTGTCGTTGAAGTCCTCCAGCAGAGGGACTTGGGGAGCAGAGCAGGCTGCCCGTCATCGCTGGGCTTCCAGAGAGTTCTCTAAGCTGCCTCCCCAGCCGGGATGAGCCCCCCGTGCCTGCCGGGGCCCCCGTGTCTGTGCCAGCTGTGTGGGGACACGCGCCTGCAGCCCCCGGTGCAGCAGAAGGCGTCAGTTCCACTGTGGCTCTGCCCACGCAGGGGACCTGGTGCTTGGGGGGCTCAGCCCCCCACCGTCACTCCCCGGGTGGCCTCAGCACAGTCCCTGACCGAGGCCTGGCCTGGCCCCATGTCGCCCCGCTGGGGTCAGCTGCCCCCCCCCCCCGGGCAGGGCTCTGATAGTCTGTCAGGTCCGGCTGGTCACCTCGCTGACCAGGTGACTTCTGACGGACAGTGCCTGACCTCCCCGAATCCCGGGGATCCCCCAAAAAAGTATTTTTACATCTTTTTTTTTTTTTTAAATCAACTGTTAATAAAGAACGTTATATTGGTCGGGCTGGGCTGTGTCCTTGGGTCACCTCTGGGTTCGTCTCAGCTGTGGCTCGGCCTCGCGTCCCTCTGTCTGGGGACCTGGTCTGCTGGCTCGGGGCTCCCCCACATTGCAGATGAGGAAATGAAGCATCCAGAGCTACGTGTCACTTAGCCAGGGTCACATGGCCCCCACCCAGGGCTGTCTGTCACAAAGTCTGGCCTTCCAAAACAACCCAGGTGGCTCTAGACGTGGACAGAGAGTCTCCTGGACCCTTCAGCCTGGGGGTCTCCTAGGGAACCCAGGGAGTTCCCTGCCTCCCAAGCCGCTGCCTGCTTTCTATTGCACCTCGCCTGAGTTCTGCCTGCCCGTCCTGTGAAGAAATCAGTTTCTTGTCCTCAAGAGTCGTGGTGGCCCCACACACCAGGCCTCTCGGAACTGAGGCTGGGAGGACAGGACAGGGCCCAGGCCACCTGGAGGCTGCTCTGTCCTTTGGGTTGTGTGCCTGGGCCTAGGTTTTCCTCCATGGGGGCTGCCTACCATTCGGCTAGGCTCGGAATCCCACAGAGCCCAGTGGGGGACCCCAGAGGCCCCGAGGACGTTATCGGGTGCCCTCAGCCCAGACCCGCCCGTGCTCGCGAGGGGAAGAAGGGCGTGACTTCTGTGTATCCAAGATTGTGGTGACTCCCCAGAAAAGCCAGATCAGGGGCCAGGCCTCTGGCAGGACGCCCACCCTGGCCCTGGGGACCCCAAGGCGGAGGTGTGGACTGGACATGAGGCTCACAAGAGCACAGCCCTGACCCGGTGAGTGAGTGGCGGACACCGGGGCCGTGCCTTCCCTTCAGCCTCAGTTTCCCCACGTGCCTGGAGACCCAGGAGGCAGCCCGTTCAGGAGCCCTGGGAGGGAGGGGGCCGGGGAAGTCCTGGTTTCTGTCCCTGGAGGACCCGGTGTGGGCGCTGGCTTGGGAGGCCGGGGCTGTGAAATCGGGGTCTTGGGGGGCCGGTTCTGTGGCTGGGGGCTCCTTGGCCCCGGGTCCAGCCTGGGGAGCCACTCTGCTTTGGGTGTTTCCGTCACCCTGACTTTTGAAGGGCCCCAGAAACCAGGTCTCAGCCTGGCTTCAGGCGGTTTGGGTGGCTGCCATGGACTTGTGTGGGTCAGGGGTCACAGCAGGCCCCCGTGGGCACCGGTGGGCACACCGCCCCCGGATGTCCACGTCCCTCTGTGTCGCTGCCACACACCTGAGTGCCTTTTAGCAATAGGATGTCGGGCTCCTTGGGGTCAGAAGGCCCGGTCACCGTGGGAAGGCTGAGACTTGGCCACCCGGCTTAGAGGAGCCCCAGGGACACTCAGAAGGGACATCTTCCAGGGCTGTGACCCTGGATCGTACCCAAGCCCGATGCTCTGGGCCAGGCCTCACCCTTTCCCAGGCTGAGCTGAGACCCACTGCGTGTCCCACCGTGGGGTCCAAGGGGGTCAGTCTGGGCCTGGGCTTGGGCTCAGGACTGGTGATGCGGCCACACGCCGGGCCTCCCAGCCTGGGGTCCCCCACCTGCCTGGGGACACGGGCAGAGCGGTCATGTCCTCCTGCCACCTGGGGCTGCCCATGGCGCGTCCTCAGGCCAGCAGCGGGCAGCTGGCGTCCAGCCTCTGCAGGGAGAACGTGGGCCTGAGTGGGTGGAGATGGGAAATGAGGAAACCTCAGGCCGGGGCTGGGGACTGGGGGGACGGACGACACAGTGGCCTTGTTTCCACCCTTTCTGATCTTCCTCCCGATACAGGGGAAGCGAACCTCCTACGTCTTCCTCAAAGATGTGGGAGCAGAAATTCAGGGTGTCAGGGCCTCACCTGAAGCCTGGGGGGTCCCCCGGGTCCTGTGTGTGCCAAGTGGTGACACAGGTGACATCTTTGTAGGGGTGAGAAGAGACCATGCTCCGACCCTACAGGAAAAGGGGGACAGGGCGAGGGGAAGTGAGCCTGTGTGCAGCTGGCTGGCTGTGTGGGTACAAGGCTGCCAAGGCCCCCTTCTCCTTGGGGCCCTCGGCTGTGCGGGGGGACAAGGGGTGCACCCCATTGTTCAGCAGAGGCTTTTGATGTCCTCCTTTTACACAGGTGGAAACGAGACCAGAGAGGTGCAGTCACTTGCCCAGGGTCACACAGCGGGGCACAGCAGAGGCAGAATTCCAAAAGAAGACCCGCCATGGCGCAGGCAGGAGCCTCCGGGGTTTTCCCCTGGGCTTGGGGGGCAGGGGACGGTTCAGCTGCACCCGAGGGATCCGGAAGGTTTTGCAAGATCCCCTGCAATGCCAGCTGTCTGCGTTGGTGGCCGGGTGTCTGCTGCCGGTGGCAACAGCTGCGTGGGCAGGCACGCGAGGCCCGACGCGGCCCCTGTCTGACCCTGGACCGGCCGGGTGTGGGTGCGAGGGCAGCTGCGTTGGCTCTGTGTGCGAATCTTCCCATGTCCCCCCCCCAGGCCTTGGCCTCTCCGTGATCGGGGGCTGCACCCCACGACCACTGGGGATGGGGTCACTGGTGCCTCTGGCCACCCTGTCCTCCCTGGCTTCAGTCTCTCCGGGTCCTGCTCCCTACTTGGTCTCTGTCCCTTCTCCTGCCTCAGAACCAAGCCCGATTGTCCCCAGTGTCCCCTCCCTCCCTGCTCTCGAGGTCTCTGGCCACCCACACCTGCCCTCTCTCAAAGCCAAAGAGCTGCGTGTCCAGGAGGTCACCGGATCGGTCCTGAGCGCCTGGCCTTGTCCTCTGATTTGTTGATTGACTCCTTGTGCAGGTCAGAGCACCCTCTTATTCCCTTGCTGTCTTCCAGCCCCTTGGTTTTCCTGGGGTTTGCTGTGCTTTTGGGTTTGGGGTTTTTTTGTCCTCTTTCCTGTCAGGCAAACCCCCCACCCCGTCCCGCCCCACCCCTGCTGTGATTTTAAGCCTCACCTTTAATTTTTTTTTTAATAAAGGGCAAATTCACATAATACAAAATTATCTTTTCCTTTTTTGGGGGATGGGAATCTTACTGTGTAGCCCAGCCTGGCCTCGAACTCGAGATCCTCCTGCCTCAGTCTCCTGAGTGCTGGAATTATAGGTGTGTGCCACCATGCCCGGCTCAAAATAGCCATTTTACTTATGCATTTCAGCAATATGGCATTTGAACTCAGGGCCACCCCCATTCCTCCCACTGGTCTTTGGGATCCCACTTGGGTGGAAGCATTGCCACCATACGGCATCTGGCTTTTGCATCTATTTTCTCCCTCAGCCTAAAGTTCCCGAGGCTCACGCACAATCGTGAGTGTCAGGACGCCGTTCTTTTTCACGACTTAGTAATGCTCCGCTGTACAGATAGACCACGTTTTGTTTGTTCGTTATCTTTTGAAGGGCATTTGGATGGTGTCCAACGGTCAGCTCTTAAACGCTGCTGTCTAGACTGCAGAGTCCCCAGCATTTGTGGACAAGGTGGCCTGGTCCCAGCTGGCCTCAAATAGCCCCCAGAAGGTCCTTTGAATCTGGATTAGTGCAATGCCTTTCTCTCCCCCTCAGAGCTCCAGGATTGGCTCCTCGGTGTCTGCAAGGACACCGAGGGGCGGAAGGGGACACAACCTGTCCAGGGCGGGGGTCAGTAGCCCTGTTAGTCCGTCCTCAGTGTCCCGGCCCCATGGGGACCTGGCCTCCTCCGCCTTCTCCGCCGTCTCTGTGGGGCTAGGCCTGGCCTTGGCTGCAGCGGCCGTCCCATGCCCGGTGCCCAGCGAGGACACCATGCCCACTGCACTTCCTTCCTCTTTGCCCCGCCCGCCCCGGGGAGCGGGCGGCCGGAAAGCCAGCTCGGTGTGCAAAGAGAGGAGGCCAGCACCTCGTCCCCTGGGACCGGTCACGCTCCAGAGGGGACCTGGCGCTGGAGGTGGCCCAGGTGCACTGTGGACCCTGGGGACCTCGAAGGCCAGGCTGGCCTCCTGTGGGAGGGGGCGAGGAAGGGGCGTCCAGCAAAGGGGTCGTCCGTGCTTTTTTTCTGTCTTCCTTTCTTTCTATTGGTGGCACTGGGATTTGAACTCGGGGCCCCACCTGCTAGGCAGGTGCTCTCCCACTTAAGCCAGACCCCCCAGGCCTTTTCGGTTGCAGTTATTTTTTGGGGTCCAGGGCCAGCCAGGACCTCACTCGTCCTATAGCTACAGCCTGGAGCACAGCTGGGATTGCAGGTGTGAGCTGCCGTACTCGGCCCATCTTTCTTCAGAGGGTGGGCGGCGTCATCTGTGCGCGAAGCGAGTTCTGTAAAGCGAGTGGGAGAAAATGCTTTGACTTTCTCTTTTTCGGTTAGCTTTCTGGGAAAGTGTTGCAATGTACACTGCGCGAAAAGGCAGATTTTGAATTTGGTTTTTTTTGTTTGTTTTTATAAAAAGTCAGCGCCTTTGAAATCGAGGCTGAGGAGGCAGAAACCCAATTTCCTTAGGAACTCAGCCGGGACAGCTGAGTGCTTTTGGGAGAAGCTGCCAGAACACACCTGTCGGGAGTTCTAGTCCAGGCATCGGTGCTCACGCCTGTAATCCCAGCGAGTTGGGAGGCTGAGATGTGGAAGATCACGGTTCGAGGCCAGCCTGGGCAAAACAGTTCAAGGGACCCCATCTCCAAAATAAGCAGAGCAGAATGGACTGGAGGAGCGGCTCGAGGGGTAGAGCGCCTGCTTTGAAAATGCAAAGCCCTGAGTTCAAACCCCAGTCCCACCAAATGAATAAAACAGAATGTGCATCTGTGAAAACTGCTTCACAGAGGGACGCACTGGCCGGGCCATGCAAATTTGATGGCGTCCGAACCGCGTCTGAATTGTGGACAGTCACTGTTATTCACTCAGTGAGCGGCCCTGACCCCGAGCGGGCGTCTGGTAAATGTCCCCAGCAGCCACTGGGGCAGACGGAGGCGCACGCTTGCTTATGTCAGTGGGTGGCGTTGGGCGGTTGGGAAAGTCAGGGTTACATAAACCGCGGGCCGACGAGGTCACCCTGGGCCCAGGGGATCCCGCCACCAAGTCCTTCCTGGGACGTCTTCGCCTGGCCCTGCCCTGCCCCGCCCCGGTCTTTGTCCCTGTTTGTCACTTACTAATATTCCACTGCTGTGTTTTGTTTATTCAGTCCATTGGCAGACGCTCTTTCTTTCTTCCCTGGGTCTGGGATTTGAACTCAGGGCTTCGTGCTTGCAAAGCAGGTGCTCTGCTGTGGATATTTTGGAGTTGGGGTCTCTGGTGAGCTATTTGCCTGGGCTGGCCTCAAACCTCGATCCTCCCGATCTCAGCCTCCCAGGTAGCCGGGATTACAGGTGTGAGCCCCGGTGCCCCGTTACCAGGGAGTTTTTGTGAAATTCTGCAGATCCAATTTTTCCACCCTTGCTAACCCTCATCGTTGTCTGTCTGTCTGTCTGTCTGGGGCTCCGGCTGGCCTCAAACTCAGCCTCCCGAGTGCTGGGATTACAGGCGTGCGTCTCCACGCCCGGCTTACGTCACTGCATTTTATGGAGGGGAAAACGAGGCTCTGAAAGATGCCATGCCTGAACCAAGGACCCGGGCCTTGCAAGCAACCAGGACTGGACCTTGACCTGGCCCTGTCCCCGGTGCCCAGTGGAGCTGTGTCCCCACAGCCGTGGCAGGTCCTGTCCTGGCAGCTACAGGGGCAGGGTCCCACGGCGAGGCCGGAAAGGCAGTTCTGAGGAAACGGGCCGGTCCTCTTCCTCTCCCAGTCACGCGGGGCCCGGCTGACGTGGCCCAGGAAGAGGGGACAGCCTGGGCCCCGTGGTTGAGATCCGACTTATTGTGACTGTTGCAAGCTTTTCCTGCTGGCGACAGGGACGTCACTGGGCGCTGACCTCACCCAGAACACTGACGCATCTTCCCTCATGCCTCCGCTGGATGGTGGTGAGGCCAGCCTCCGTGCCTCCCGGCCGCTCCCTGTCCTTCGGTACATCCGAAAGTGGGGGACCCCATGCCGCCCAGCCCTCTTCCCCTTGCAAGTTGAGTCACGGGCCCCCCAAGTGCAGGCGGATAAAGCCCTAACTCACACCATCCCAGATGTGGCAGCCTTTCAAAATGACCTTGAAAGAGGTCATTTAAGGTAAAATAAGGTCATTGATTGGCGCCTGATCCAATGTGGCCAGTGTCCTTATTAAAAAAAAAGGGAGACTAAGGAAGCCGGGAGCAGCAGTTCACGCCTGTAATCCCAGCCACTTGGGAGGCTGAGGTCAGGAGGATGGTGGTTCGAGGCCAGCCCAGGCAAACAGTTCACAAGGCGCCATCTCCAAAATAACCAGAGCAAAATGGACTGAGGCGTGGCTCGCGTGGTAGAGCGCCTGCTTTGTAAGCGGGAAGCCCTGAGTTCAAATCCCAGCTCCACCAAAAAGAGAGAGAGAAGGACACAGACAACACACAGACCTGTGGGTGACTTCAAGATGGCTTTACGCCAAGGGGCGAGGCTTCAGCCACTGCGCCAGCCCGTTTTATGAGATGGGGTCTCATTTTATTTGCCTGGGCTGGCCTCAAACCGCCATCCTCCTGATCTCTGCCTCCCGAGTAGCTGGGATTACAGGCGTGAGCCACCGTGCCTGGCTTTCAGTTCTCTTAGCTGTCTGCAGGGTCAGGGTGGCCTCAGACCGAGGGGACAGGACAACTCCCCCCGTGTGGCGGTCAGTCGCAGGACAGAGGGAGGGACCGTCCCTGCTGGCTGGCCCGACCAGAGCCCCTGGACTTCTCAGAGCTTCCGTCTCCTCATCAAAGCCCAAGCCGCCCTTCCTGAGGTTAATGACATGACATCAGGGTGACAAAATGCAGAAGGATCCCAGCCTGGGCAGGACCCTAGGAACCAGCGTGGCGGGGGTGGCCGGGGATGAGGTATTTAGTGGAAAGACGCGACATTCTCAGGCTGAGAATCCAGAAGTGGCCCATGGGGGTGGCAGCGGCTGCAGGGAGTGGGCGGAGAGTGCACAACGGCCTCCTGGATGTGGAGTGCGGCCAAGTCGATGTTTGTTGAATGAATACAAGAGTGGTGGTGGGCACTGTAGACAGACGTGGAGAGCAGCCTTGATCAGACTTTCCCTGCATTCCTCGTTGGGGCTCTGTAGATGCCAAAGGCTCCCCAAGATGGAGCCGCTCGGCCCTACCCGGCCCCCTTTCCCCACCTCCCAGGGGCTTGCTTGATGTGCTGGCATCTCCTTGCCTACCCGTGCCCCTGGGCCTCAGTTTCCCCCACAGGGAAGCAGCAGGTTGGCTGACTGCAGGCCCCCTCGGTTCTCATGTTCAGAAGGCAGGGCCAACCCACGATCGCTATCTTTCAGAGAAAGTGAAACCTGGCCTCCAACCGTCACCGCAGCAGGGCTGGCCCCCCCACCCCGCCCCAGCTTCCCCGTCTCCTCCGTGCCCCCGCATCCCGCCCCCCGAAATGGTACTTGGAATTAGTTTCATCTTTCCTTTTCCTCCAGAGATTCGCCCCGGTGAATGCATTTCTGCTTTTCATTTCACAGGTGGGGCTCTGGAGGCCCAGAGAGGTTCAGCGTCTTGCCTCGAGCCACACAGCATGTCGCAAAGCCTGACACCTGTTCCCCTTTTCATCCTTGCCCCAAGTGTCCAGCGGGTTTGGGATGCAAAGATGGTGGTGGGGGGCTGTCTGGTGGGTGAACAGAGCTGTCCCCGGGTCAGAACCACAGTCTCGGGGCTGCCAGCCTCGGTCTGGCTCTGTGCCCAGAGCCTGGTGGTTTCCGCTCACAAATGTCCCAACAGCCACAGCGAGAGGGCGGGAAGGGAGGTGTCGCCCCCCTCGGCCCCAGAGCTCAGCGGGGGGCACCAGAGGCCCGGCGGCAGCCCCTCCTTTGCACGTGGGACCAGGGCCCCCCCACCCCGCACACAGAAAACCCCCCAGAAGATGGCACGGACCCCCTCTCCTGCTGCTGTGACCCCAGGAAAGCTGGGACTGGCGTTTGCAGCACCCTTGGGCGTGGGGTTGACCTCGAAGAATGAATTCGAAGAAAACAGGAGGAGGACGCCCATTGGCCACTGTGAAGACTTGGGGTTTTGGGGTTCCCAGAAGGCCTGCCCTCCCCCTCCCCCTCCACACCCACCTCACGAGGTGTTGCCCAATCGCCCCTGTGGGCATAAAGTGACTGCCAGACCTCAGGGCTCCCAGCCTGGAGGTGTCACCCCCAGAAAGCACAGGCCAGAGCTTGTGGACACCCAGCAATGTGGACACAGCGCCCACGGAGACCGCTGCTCAGTAAGTAGCACCCCCGAGCCATGCTGTGCCAGCCGGTGAGGACCTGTCCCTTGTCCCCTGGCAGCTGGGGACACCGGGCACCAGGTGGAAGGACGTTAGGGACGGGGCGGGGGGCGTCCACTGAGAGCCCAGCATCCTCCCAGGTGTCCTCCGGGGGACTTGAGATGCAAGCAATCTGAGGACAATGGAGGGACAGGTGGCAGAAGTTGCAGCAGGCTTCAGGGGACCCAGCACACGCAGCCACACCCATGAGGGGACAGTGACAGCCTGTGACATCATCCAGGGTCCCCTCTCTCTCTGCAGCCTGACACCTGGGTCCCTGCCACACTCAGGGCCGTGCTCTCCAGCGTCACCTCCCGCCCCGTGCTGACATTCGTCCCATGTGCGCCTGTCACACGCACGCGGTGGGGGGGGGCATGCGGACACCCGGGGAGGTGACCAGGGTGGCTGCCTTGTAAGCCTGGGCACCCGGCTCCTCGGCCCTTCCCAGCAGCAGGTCCTCCCCGAGGGGCCGGCCGGCTTGAGGGACGGGAAGGACAGTGTCACTGCCTTCCGGGTCATTGCGCCACAGGCCCTTCCAGCCACGTGGCTGCCGGTGCCTGTGGAGGTGGGGACAGCGAGCCGGAACCGGGCCAGCCCCTTGAAATGTTCCCAGGGGACATCCCTGGAGGGCCAGGAGGAGGCAGGACGGGCTGTGTGTGACCTGAGGCTTGGTTTACCCGTCAGCAAAATGGGTACATGGCACCTTGCCCAGGCTGACCCTCTGGACGGAGAGGTGGCCTCTCCTGGCTCTGTACACAGAGCTCGAGGTACCTGGCCCAAAGCTGTCTGCCGGTCACCGACACTGTGGCTGGGGACAGCTCTTGAAGTCAACATGGGGACACGGGCCAGCCAGGTGCTCAGAGACCTGCCTGGGAAATGGCAGCCACTGTCCTGGTCCCTGGGGAGGTGGTGGCAGCTGGCACCCAGCAGGCGTTCGGTGGATGGGGGGGGGGGGACAAGCCCCGTCCCCGAGGTTCCCACCTGCAGCGTCCTGGCCCGGTCAGGTGACCGTGTCCCCCTCTGTGCCCCACAGGTCCGGTCCTCAGCTTCCTGTGCCTGCACATGGTGACGGCCGTGCCCCGCTGCTCAGTCCCTTCCGTGCTCCTTGTCCAGCTCCAGCATCAGGCGAACATGACCGCGGACACCAGCTCACTTCTGGAGCCCTATGTGAGCACCGGGGGCTTGGAAGGGAGCGGTCAGAGGGCAGGGAGGGGACAGTATGGCGTGGGTGGGGAAACTGAGTCTTGGAGTGCTTGCAGCCTGAGCCCTGCCGACTCCGGTCCTCGCTCACCGGCTTGTTCTGCCAGGCGTCTTGGAGCAACATGGTCCCAAAGCCGCCCCACTGACCCCCCTGGGCCCTGCCACCCGCTGTGCAGCACCACCGCCACTGTGTCCGCCTTCCGGCCTCAGTGTTTGCACCCGCGCAACGGGCGCATCGGCTTGGCGGGGCCCAGCGTTGCAAAGCCGTGCGTGCGTGCGCGTGGTTGGGGGGCTCCAGCGTGCACCCCAGCTCTGATCCCCTTGCTCCCCCTCTCTGTCCAGGTCGTCACGCAAGGCCTGAGCGTCCCTTTCCGGCGAGGGTTCTGCAAGGAGCACCCCGGGGCCTTCCCCAGCGAGGATGCCCTGCGGTCACTGAGCCAGGCTGGCTTCCTGAGGACGGTGCACGCCACGCTGGGTCACCTCCTGCACAACCTCACTGCTTTGCAGCTGCAGTTCTCGGACGCCCAGGACTTGCCAGAGCTGCCGATGGCCCGGAAAAACACGCACGGCGTCCGAAACAACATCCACTGCCTGTCTCGGCAGCTGCACATCTCCCTGGACATGCAGGCCGGCCTGGGGACATCACTGCCACCTGTCACGTTCACGGGCACGGCCCCAAGCATCTTTGAGGCCAAGCTGGAGGGCTGCAAGCTCCTGAGCGGCTACCATCGCTTCATGGGCTCCATGGGCAGGGTGCTCAGAGAGTGGGGGGACAGCCCGAGGCGCAGCCGGAGGGACAGTCCCCAGATGGCTCTGTGCAAGGGGACACACGGGACCGGGGCCTCCAGGAGGGCCAAGAGGCTGGTGCCCAGGGGCTGGCTGGCCCGGTAGCCTGAGGGGCGCCCCTTGCAGCAAGAGGGACGTGGCGAGTGCTGTGTGCTGTGACCTGTGGCCGCGGGTGTCCACACCTCTGTCCCCACCATGGACAGGTGCACTTTAAGGGGTCCACCTTGCCTCTGTGGGCTGGATGGAGTCAGGCTGCGGTGTCCCCCGGCGCCCCCCAAGAGTCCCGGTCCCGGTGGGGTGGCCGGGTCCCCACAAGGCCACGAGGGGCTGACTTTCCATTGATTCAGGGATCTGATGACACAAGGTGACTCATGGCTGCCCTTCCTTCCCATGACCTGCAGGGCTGTTGTGTTGTCCCCGACTTCCTTCTTTCCGCGGTGGCCGGCCGGCCTCCCAGGGGATGTCAGGCCCCTTCTGCCTCATCGCTGCTTGGGTCCGAGTGACCTCACTTTGGGCCTGTGACAGGGACAGGTGTCCCAGAAGGAGCGCCGATCTGGGCTGGGGGGGGTCCAGGAGGATGGGGACCGGCCCCTAACTTATCCCTCAGTTTGCTCTTTGAGAAGGGCTTTGGGGACTATGTTTGGGGACTGTGCCCGTAAGTTGCTGGCACTTGGTGAGGGGACATGACTGGGACATCCCCCGGGGGTGTCTCCCTGCAGGAGACCCCAGAGCCCTGGAAAAGGGGGCTCCCCTGGGGTCCTGGCTGCTGGCTGCGCGCCCCCTAGTGGTGGGTCGTGGAATTTTTTTAGCATGTCCCTCCTGGAGGGGGACAAAGACTGCTGGGCAGACACTTGGACAGACAGGACTAATTTATTGATTTTTATGTCCGTTTTGAGTCAGTTTCCTATTTATAAGGCTTATTTATGGTGTGTATTTAACGGTAATATTTTGCTAACATATATTTAAAATATAGCTGGTTTCTACGATGCTGTCCGCTGTCTCATTGGGAGAGGATTTGGGGGGAGCCCGGCAAATCGGGGTGCTGTGCCCAGGAAGGGACGTCACATGTCCAGCCGGCCAGGGCTGCGGACGTGGGGGTCACCCTGTGATACTGTTTTGGCTGCGCAGGTGGCTGGGGGTGAGGGGTGTCCCCTGGTTCATCTGGAAGCCCGGAGGCTGGGGCGCAATGGGTGCCTCAGTTTCCCCGCGTGTACGTGTGCTCAGACACATGCAGTCGTCTCTGCAGACCTCAGGATTCCCCGAGGGACACAGGGACACCAGGTGCCCTCACACTTGTGCAATGAAGCCACGTGCACTGCCACAGCCACGCCCCGTCACACACGGTGACACCTGGGCAGGAGTGGCCGTGGCGCAGACAGACAGAGCCGGGGGGTTGGACACATAGCAATGAGTCACGCAGACCTGGCGGGGTTCAAAGTCTCGCCCGGCCCTCTCCCATCTGTCTGGGTGACCGTGGACAAGTGTCAGGGACAAGATCCTAACGGGCCCTGCCTGTGACAGCAGGTGCCCAGAAGTCCCCCGAGGGACCCCAAGGAGCCAGGGTCTCCATCTGACCCCCAGCAATCCAGGGCCCCCGATGCCCAGGACTGGCACCCGTGGGCCACGGCCATGGGGAAGCCAGGTGAACTTGGGGACATGAGGGTAAGGCCCTGGGTTCGATTCCCAGCATTGCCGAAGAGAAGGTGAAGGAGGAGAAGGAAAAGAAGGAGGAGAGGGAGGACCACTAGACCTGGGTCACCCCCCCGCCACCCCCAATTCCTGGCAAGATGGACACCTGGTGCAGGACTCCGCAGTGGTTGTGATCCATTTTGCAGACAGGAAGACTGAGGCTGGAAGCCTGTGTGACCTGCCCACGCCCTCTGAGCAGAGGACGGGGCGGGCTCTGTTGGAATTCACATCCGTTGGGCTCCTCCCTTGCTGTCCCCCGGGGCAAGGGACAGACAGACAGCGGGGAGCATCCGAGATTGCGTGACCCAGGCAGAGACACAGAGGGTGATGTAACACCGAGGGCAATGTGGGTGGCCGGAAGATCTGGAGAAATGACATCTCCCTGGTGCCTAAGAGGTGACAGGAGCAGCCAGGGCAAAGGCTTCTCCCAGCCTGCACAGATCAGAATAGAGTGACGAAAAAGGCCCAGAGACGGGCAGCCCCTAGCCCAAGGTCACACAGCACCTGTGCAGGGTGGGACCAGGACTCTGGGCCCCAGGTCCCCAGCATGCAGTCGCGGTGGCCACCAATGTCTTCCAGGCGAGTGGCCACCTACCTAGCAAGACCCCCTCCGTCTTAGGGCTCACCACGACTCTTCACCTATGCTGTTCCCTGTCTACAATGCTGTTCCCTGACTGTGCTGTGTGTCACTCATTTTTTCCCCCAACTTGGTTACAGTGTGCTCCATCTGGGGGCCGACGGAGTGGCCCAGGGCACAGCTGCAGTCCCTCTGCTGTGTCCAGCACAGGGCCTGGCACCGTGCAGAGGGTGCAGGGGCCCAGGGAGAAACAGAGGCACAGACACGGGGGGCTGTCACTCACAGCTGCCCTGTCCCACCGGGGACCGGGGTTTTCCTGGGTCTGGGCTACTGGGAAGTTGTAGGTGGGAGGTGGCAGCCACCGAAAGCCACCCTCGCTTTCCTGGGGTGGAAGTGGTGCTGGCGCTGGGCCAGGCGAGCTGTGGGGGGCCCAGGCGAGGGATCTCGCTGTCCCTTCAGCGATGTGTCCTGATAAGTCACTGGCTCCAGACTGCACCTGTCCCCGGTCCCCAGGACACCGCAAAGCCCAACGCACATCTGCAAACCCCACACCGGTTTTCAACTTCCCTTTCGCCCCCCCTTTCCTCCGAAGGTTCCAGAACCTCAGCCCAACCCTCGCTCTCCTGTGGCCTTGGTCACCTCCATCGTCACCCCACACCTGGTGTCACCTCACCTCACCTGCTGCTGTCTGGCTCCCTGGACACCATTTTAAAATCCCACTGTCACAACGTCCTCCTCCGCTCACACACCCTCCATGGCTCCCTACTGCCCAGGCTTCGATGCCACCCCGGAGGCGTCCACCACGTCCCTCTCACGTCCCCCCCACCTGCTTGGTGGCTTGGTGGCTTGTGGGGCCACCGGTGGAGTCAGCGTCAGCCACAGGCCGAGCGAGCCCAGATCCCCCATATTCCTCTGCAGCACAAACCCCAGGACGATCTGTGAGCCGATGTCCCCTGGACGTATGCCTTAGGCATGGAAAGGGACAAGCTGGTCACACGTTGAGCTCAGGGGGGTCGGGGTTCGAGGCCAGCCTGGACAAATAGTTTGAGAGACCCCATCTCCAAAATAAGCAGTGCAAAACGGACTGGAGGTGAGGCTCAAGTGGTAGAGCGCCTGCTTTGCCAGTGGGAAGTCCTGAGTTCAAATCCCAGTCACACCAAAAAACACAACAATGAAAAAAACCAAAAAGCAAAGTTCCTTGGTTATGGGACTTAGCCCACGTGGTGGAATGCCTGCCTAGCAAACACCAGGCCCCGAGTTCAAATCACAGTATTGCCAGTTCCCTGGGATGGGGGAACTGCAGGGAAAAAGGCAGGAATGGGGACCCGGTGCAATTTAGCCACAAAACAAACCCACAGCTCGGAAACGGCAGAGCCGGGATCTCACCTCGCAGCTCAGGCCTTGAATTAGAGTCTCCTGCCTCAGTTTCCCAAGTGCTGGGATTACAGCCGTGAGCCACCAGGCTCGGCCCTGTTCCAGTTTTAATATGATTTTTTTTTCTCTTTAACAAGGCTTTTAAGCAAAATCATTTCGATCCCCCCATCCTCACTAGTAACCTGTCCAGGTCAAGCCTCAGTTTCCCTTCTGTACAGTGGGGCTGTGGGGATTTTCCGGGAGACAATACCCACGGGACGGGATGAACGCACCGTCAAGAGCCATGTCCTTTCCTTTCCCGCGTCTTCCTCATTGCTCCTCTTTCTTTACAGCTCTTCTCTGTGCCCCTGTCCCCAACGTCCCCACCCCGCCTCCCGGCCTCCACGCCAGGCCTGGGCCCTGGAGGGGGAGGGGGCGGGGAGCGTCCACCCCAGATCAAGGACAAGGTCACAGTCCACCACGCGAGGCCCTTAGCACCTCCCCGGGGCGTCCCCACGGGCTGGGCTTCCCGGGGAGGGACGAAGTCCTGGGGACAGGGGTTGGCAGGTGGGGCCCCGGAGCCTGGGGCCTGCAGGTGGCTCTTGGGGTTCTCAGGCTGGCTATGGGGTGAGGAGAAGAGGCTGGCGGGGGACACAGTGTCCAGAGCGGGGTTAGCTGCAGTCCTGTGACTCTCCTAGGGACAGGGACATGGGAGGACACTTGTGGTGCACACGGCCCGTGGCAGGTCTGAGTCAAAACACCTAGGCCGACCCCAGCCGGTCATGAGGAGGCTGCCCAGTCATCGCCTTATGCCGGCCTGGGTCACCCGGAGTGGGCGCGGCCCAGTCACAGCTGTGACTCAGGCCACAGCAGCCGGGCCACGCAGCCGGGACGGGGACATCGAGCACAGGACGCCCCCTCCCCACGACGGCCCAGCCCCTGTCCCCAGTGGGTCGGGCGCAGGCCGGGCAGGGACTGTCCCAGGGGCCACGCGGGGGCCACCGGCTGCGGACGGGACTCAGAGAGGAGTCAGAAGCAGAGGGGACCTGGGCTCCAGGACGATGGTGACCCACTGAAGACCTGGGACCACCGCCGGACCCCAGAGGCCCTGGGGCCACGCAGAGACCACGGTAAGCTCCCCGTCGGGCACAGGAAAGGACAATGGCAGGCCCCCAATTTGTCCTCAGTGAGGACAGACCACTCACTGTCTTAGACCTCAGCCGGCGCAGGTGGCCTTCAGAGCTGTCCAGGACTCAGTTTCCCCATCTGTGTGAGGCCACTAAGGCCCTGACCCCGTCTCAGGATGTCAGGGTACGGCAGGACAGACAGATGTGAAAAGGTCCCGTGGGGACCTGAGGGGCTGAAGACAAGGACAGGTGAAAGGGCAGAGGGGACAGCGCTGGAGACCGGAAGGGTCCTGAATTCAAATCCTGGCCGTGGACAGTCACACATGGGTCATTTCTTGGGTGCACAAATTCCCAGATTTCCAAAGGGTCCTTCAGGTCCCTTTTCCCCGTGGCTTCCTCCACTGGTACCACAGGGTCAGTCCCTGTCCCTGTCCCTCCAGGAGAGGCCGAAGTGGGCCATGGAGGCCCTCACGGGAGGCTCTGCAGTCAAGGTCATGGCCTCTTGGTTTGACCTTGGGTCAGTGCAGGGTTTGAGTGCACATTAAGTGGGGTCCAGATATGGACACGGGACTCCTGGGGACATGGCAGGGGACCGAGGAAAGAAGAAGTCTTTGCACAGACGCGCGTGGCGGGCTCGGGGGACCAGAGAAGGAGCTCAGCCCCAGATCTGCGGCCAGAGGTCCCCGGGGCCTCTGGCGTCTTAGGGTCAGGACAGGGACTTGCAGGTCAGTAAGAAACTGGAAAGTCCAGGCTCTGCAGCCAGGCGACCTGCTCCATGTCCTGCTCCTTGCTGTGTGACCGCGCGGGCGGTTGATTTTTGGCCTCTCTGGCCTCAGTTTGCCCATCTGTAAAATGGAGCACACAATTGCCACCCCAGAGGAGCTGCGAGGACCAGGTGGGAAGGGGCAGCAGGACAGGACAGCTGTCCTCTCGCCTTCCTCCACCTTCCCCTTGTCCTCCTCTCCCTGCCGCCGCCAGCCTCAGCTGGACAAAGGCCTGTCCCCCCCTTGCCCACTGCCTGGGGTCCAGCATCCCAAGACTCCAGGGGTCACTTCCTCAACCCCCCAATCCCGCCCCGCTCGCCCCCGGGTGGCACTGGCCCAGCAAGGCCTGGGGCTGTCCGGACTCTTGGTGGCACAGCTGCTGCCTACTGGACAGTGGGGGGCGCTGCTGCCCACGGCTTGAACCTGCTGGGACAGGGAGCTCTGGCCCTGTCGTCCCG